ACTAACTGTAGGCCACACGTTCCAGACTCTTAATGGTTATGTCTGTCATTTAAACAAGTCCCAGCTATTCCTGGGGTTTGCTGATAATCCGTTATGTTCTGCAGCCAATGAATCCTCAATCCAGGAGAAAATACGTAGAGGGAATGTATGTCCACTTTTCATTCTTACTAAGTGATTGAGTCAGGAAGGGACAGAGTAAGGAGAAGAGAGCAGGGAGGGATAGAGAAAGGGATGGGGGAAGGAAAAAAGACAGACAACTTGGGGACATGTTTGGAGATATGTAGGTCACATGGGAAATCATAAATACAAACACTGATGGCTCTTTGACCATGCACGTTTGAAAAATCAGCACATTTTCTTACAGGCATCTGACAATGAAAAGCTTTGGTCCACAACACAACCTCTGTGTAGCCAAACTCCAAGCAAAATGTTTTGCCTTGTGTCCACTGTTGAACTCTGAAGCAGACTTTGGAAAGACCCCAGAAGCAACTGTGTTCCAGTATTAGCTAGAACACTCTTTTTAGAGCAGAGAAAGAGACAAGTAATCCATGAAGGACTTTCCTGAATTAAGCTGCAGTTAAATATAACCTAAACCTTTAATAGTAGCTCAAACCCCGAGGGCCTCTGATATTACTCAGACTCTGAATCTCCTAATATATGACCGCCTCCCCCATATTCAAATGTGATGTTCTGTTTGGAAGTAGGCTGCTCTTTGTCCCAAAAGGCACGAACTGCTAGGTGACACTGTAACACAAGCAGCCTGCACTGCTGTCCGCTCACTGCTGCTGACAGGGTCCTTAGAGGAGAGATAAAGAGCGGCCCACGCTGTTTCAGCTGTCAGCAGGTCGCAGGAAGATCAGGGAGGACCTGAAGTATCAACAATTTAGAGATATCTGCCCAAAGTTAGGCAGAAAAGAGGATCATTAAGATAAATCACAAAAGCAGGATTACTCAGCTTCTAAGAAAAGATCGGGAACATGTTTAAGTGAATTATGAAAGTAATGAAATAATGTCACATTCTTCCCTGAACTAACCTGGGCTTTGTCTAGGTCCACAGCAACACATTCATACAATGTGGATCATCACTCCTTCCTGCACCAGCTGTATACACATTGTGCTTTTCCTGTAACTTAGGTGTTTCCTCTCTGTTAAATCACAAATTCTCAGTTCGGAAAAATGATTTTCTTTCTACGTCTTTTAAGTACCTTTTGATGGAGAAGTTCGGGAAATAGATTCTTCAATGAGGGAGTGGTTTTCCAGAATTCTAGAATGCCAAGCCACTCAATGTCTGGATTTGATGGTCCAGTAAGAAAACACGAACAAGCTGCTTAACCTTATTCATGACTATTCATTCTAGGAGGTTGGCGATGTCTCTGCAATGAAAATGAGACCTTTAAAATCTATGTTTCTCAACTGACACTGAGTCAAGGAAAGTACATACCAACTAATGGAAAAGATCTGTCTAGAGACAAAAAAGCATTGAAATGAGATCTGTAGAACTTTATTCTAACCTGGAGCTACAATGCAAGCACTGTCTCTACCATAGCCAACTTGCAAAGACTGTTCTGCTCTGTAGTTGACTTTGAATCTGGAAAAATGAGCTACCAAGCCCTTATGGCAAATGCTCGTCTAAATGCATTCTCCACTGTGGAAAAGGGGCTGCCTGGCCGGAGAACTCCTCTTCCAGCTGGAGAGGAAACAAGAGCCTTCTGCATCCCGGGCAAGAATCCTGCCATAAGCCTCTCACAGCCTTTACCAAGGCTTTTCCTGCTGCCTCGGAAAAGGCAGATTCTCCACCCTTCACTTCTTTTTGCCTTAAATCTTACCCTCACTATTAAAACCTCATGTATCATGACCCTTACAGAATTTAACTCAAAATAGAATTTTTACTAAAAATAAAAATGACTAATTTCTTAAAGTTCTAGTCTACTAGTGGACATAATGTCGCTCCGAAGACATGTAATCACAGGAAAATTCGAGAGGAAACTTTGACAGGACTCGATGACTTCAGCGCATGCCCTGTTGAGGTGGCAGCTTTCTTGGTCAGGGCTCTTGATGAAATCACCTCCCCTCTCTAAGCTCAAATACATTAAATAAAGTTTTCTGTGCTCTATGGACTGACTCTATGAGGCCCATGATAGAGCTAAGGGACAGAACTGTCTCTTGCCCTGGATTGTGCACAATCCAAGGAGAACACAGAGACACAGTGCACCTCTGCAGTAAGGAGAGAGACCATCCTTCTCCCAAGTTTGTTTGCTTTATGTGAGTGTACTTCAAAAGCTGTTACAAAACCCCTGTGTGTACTGTTTGCTTATTTATTGAGCACCTGCTACCTGCAGCTATTGCCATACTATAATTATGCTGTCAAATGTGATGATCTATGATTTTCTACTTAAGTAAATTGGACTTCAGAGAACTCAAATGTCTTGACCTACAAGACAGCATCTAAGAAACTGCAGAAATAAGTTGTGAAGTGTGGTCCAATAAAAAGATTCAACCAAAAAATTGAACAACTGAGATGAGCAACACTTCTCAGAAGAAATACTAATGGTCAATAAATACAAGAATACATGTTTAACAGACATGTAAGTTAAAACAACACTGGGATTCCATATTACTCCAGGAAGAAAAGCCATCACTAAGAAATCATACAACAGATGCTGGAGAGGCTGAGGGGAACTGAGCCTTTCCACACTCTTGGTGAGTGTGTAAACTGGTGCAATCATTATGGCGATCAGGGCAGAGATTCATTTAAAAAGTTTAAATAGAAATTCAGTCTCATTCAGCTCTTCTCCTTCCAGATATCTTCCCAAAAGTGTGAAAGAGAGCAATCCAGATATCTTCCCAAAAGTGTGAAAGAGAGTGACATATATCTCATGTTTATAGCAGCATGTTTCAGAATTGCTAAGTCTTAGAAACAGCCCAGGTGCCCATCATTTGATGAATGGATAAAGAAAATGTGGTGTTTATGCATCATAGAGTAACATGCTCCCATTATGAATAAATTTGGTCATTTATAGGAAAATGCATATACCTTCAAACCATAATGTTAAGCGAAATAAATCAGACACACAAGCTTAAAGACTTCATGGTTTGTTTTGTATGAAACGCCCAAAATACAAAGAATAAAATAAAAGATAGATCATTGGAAACAGAGATAGATCTTTTTCAAAAGGTAGAGGACCAAGAGATGAAGAGAGATGGGAGGGAAAGTAATAAACAAAAATTCAGACACGTTATATACACGCATGACTTCCTGTGGGGAATGTAATCGCTATGTACTGCCAACATGGACTATAACAACAAACTTTAAATAATTCCAGGTCACTTTCCAGTTCTCCAGGGCCTCTTTCTGTGTCTAGTGGTAAGGATGAAGTGGAGTTTTCAGAGTCCCTGAGAGGCACCGCGTGACGGGGGCTTCCTCTAGCAGTCGGTTCCAAGCCTGGTCCTTACAGAACCCAACTGTGTAGAAGGAGAGCCCGGTGAGAGGGTGCTGCAACCACACGCACTGCTAAGGGTTACTCCCTCCTCACGCACAGCAGACCAGCTTCCTGACCAGTTATAACAGTGTAGCGTAGAGTCCTTAGGAGGAGTACAGCCTGCAGGTACAGAGGCGCAGAGCCGTTCTGACCACATCCTCCTCCCTCATTCTCCAGGTTAAACATCAATATTAGCATTCTTCACTTTTCTTTTTATATGATATTTCATTCATGAGCATAGGAATAATGGTTTTTAGCTACTCCAGAAACTGCTCTCCTTTGTTTTAATAGAGGGACTATCCAAAAACAAAAGCCATCAGCAATTCAGAAAATGGGACAAAATTTAGTATCAGAAACAATGTTGTTCGCCAAAGCTAGAACTTGGAAGCACCTTGGAACTGAGAAGAAACCTAAAAACAAGAAAGAGTAGGTTAAATACTAGCTTCCTTTTTTCAGCGGAAGGAGGCAGGGAACTCCTGAGTGGGAAGTGAGACTCAAGTGTGGTCTCAATCATAGGGAAAATACATTGGCTTTGTCTTTGAATAAATCACTGCTATAGAAAAACAGAAGACACTGGGGAGGATGGATTTCTATTTATTTGTTCATTTGATTCACTCATAAGAGCATCTTCCATGTGGTACTTATAAAGTTGAAAGAACTAATTTAGTGGGGAAAAATGTAGAAAGGTTGAAGGATAGATAGTAGATACAGGTGGAAGGGATTGTCACCTAAGAAAAATGTGTAAACTAGTCATGGAAAAGAAAAAGCAAAACCAATGGTTCGGAAGTGATAGGCAGGCATTTGAGCCCCAAATGACCACATTAGGAGAGCTGGGATGGGTCGGTGGGAGGGGATAGGACCTCAGTGAGGCATCCTTGACAGGCGGAATGTGTGGTAACTGTAACTAGAATTCCAATTCTTCCGTCCATCATCATGGATCATCACTTACAGAGGAGGAAGAAGATGCACTTAAACACACACTGCTTCCAGTCACTTTAGGATGTAGTGTTATTTTTACAGGTGAGGAGATTGAATTGAAGATTAAGTGACTCTCCAAAAGTCACAAGGTAATGGTAGACACAACTAGACTCCCGCCCTGAGAGTCTCAATCCTGGTATGTCAACTCCATCAGCTGAAGAAATGCCTAGTAGAATAGTAAAGAATGCTCCTGGGCCATGAAGGCATGGCCTTGGGCACTTTTTATAATCCCAAGAACATTCCTCCCTGGTACTCTTTCTGCTCTCGGCTTCCCTGCTCCTCACACCCCTGCACCACAACGTCCCTGCCTTGGACCCAGTCACCACAGGCTGAGACTGAACAAATTAAAGCTCCCCCCTAAAAACTGTGGGTGTTGGGTGATATGTCACAGGAATAATTAACACATCTCAAGAGGCATTTTATGACACTTGTAAGCTTAAGAGTTGTGTGGTTCCTTTTGCTTCTCATCACATGGGTCACAGTCAACAATCCTGTGACAAAAGATGAGGTGATAAAAGAAAAGCTCACAAAGTTTGTGGAATCAAAGTTTTACTGACATAGGAGCCATCAGAAATGAAGACCCAAGGGTTCAGCTAAAACTGTCTATTTTATGCTAACATTCGAAGAACAAACAGCCATGTGGAAATGGGTTAAACAAATGGCGTGGTCTGATGGCCATGTACTGAGGAGGAGCCCAGTGTGTCTGCCTGTTCAAATTCTCCTTGGCCTCTCTTGGCCATATTTCTATCACTTGGAATGGGGGGTTTAAAACAGGGAGACGCAGACTTCCTGGGCTTCATGGCTTACTCAGCAGGAGAGGGGCTCTTGTTTCTATGACCTGCAACGGGGACAAGAAATTTTGGTTGCCATAAATTGCTTCAGTGGAGAAAGCTGAGGGAGACACAGGAAGGCAGGAGAAGGCCAAAGAGACCTTGTTTGTAAACTGCTTCTGAGCCCTTCCCGACTCCTGTCATCGAAGTACCAGCATGCCAACTGTCATACTCTGGGGTGGCATCTCTCAAGCTGCAGCACTGTACTCTGGGGTGGTGTCTCTCAAGCTCCAACATCATAACACTTGTCCTGAAAGAGAAGAAATCTCCTTAAGCATTTTTTTCTAAAATGCTCTTGGACCTCTCATTTTTGAGCAGGATTTCACACAGATCATCTGTCCTTCCCCCGGGGAGACCTCATTTGTCTCCAGGATGAAATGCTGTCTGGACCTCTCACGCACTTCTCCATTTTCCTTGGAGTCTCCTCCCCCAGGGTCAGCGTGGCTCAGTATTTCTTTTCGTATTTTTGTCTCTGCCAATACTCACTCCCACTGGAAGTCTTGTCCAGTCTCACCGACTTTAATGTTTAAAAATAGATGTCATTGATTTAAGGTTTACCACATGGTGTTATGGAATACATACAGAGTACTTGCTTACCATAGTAAAAGGTTAATATATCTATAATCTCACATAATTACTTACTTTTGTTGTATTTTAAAAGAAAAAAACCCAGAATTTCAAAACAAGACTATAGGAAAGTAACAATAAAACATTGGGTATTGTCTTCAAAGTAGTTACTCAGAGTACAAGATACAGGCATGAAATACTGTCCTAACAATTTTAGCATAAAGCTTTCTTTTCAATGCATTAAAAGAAATGAATATATAAGTATCTTAAATATCTTGCATATATGGGAATATTCCCATATATTTTACATTTTCCTTTCATTCTTCCCCTCTTTCCTCCATCACAGTGAGAAGCTGAAAGAATAAATAATGTATAATACTGCGAATAGGAAAGAAAATGTTCAAAGGACATGTATAATAGATACTGTGAATTGGAAAGAAAATGTTCAAAAGAAAAGAGAAACTGTACTCCCTTTCTATGAAAAGAAAAGTGTTCTAGTTCACTTAACAAAAATCTCTAATGCCTTAGAATTTTACTAGCTAGAATGCTCACTTAGTGTATTCTACCCCAAAATGTGTCCCTCCTATGTGTCTGCTACTGTGCACCCTTTGGCCCCTAGCACCCATTTTCTCTGCCCTCCAAACACATTTTACTCTGACTGGTTTTACCGATAGCTTCTATATGCTGGTGAGTCACACACTGATGTCACTAGTTCAATTCCAGTTGGTTTCTACTTTTCTCCCCCTGATTGTCTGACCCTGAACTCCAGGGACCTTCCCTATCTTCACCTGTCCACCAGGGGTCTTCTACAGTTCTGTTCATGGCAGGTCCAACTTCACTATCATTTTAAGAGATTTGTGACATTGTTTTTGACTTCCTGTTCCATTTTGTTTCCATCACTGAGACCTTTGTATCCATTTGAGATTTCCAGAATCTACGATCTTCCCACCACCAGCCAGGCCACTACCCAAGACTGGGTCATCATCACCTCCGGCTGGGGGTCCACAGGCCTCCTCCCTTCTCTACAAGCCACCCTGCCAGTGGTCCCTGAGAGTCTGCTCTTGGCACAGCAGCCAGAGGATGCCCTCAGGGGGAAGCCACTAAGATCTAGGGCCTTTCCTCATCTATTTCCTCCTCCGCTTCACTCTGCAGTTCTGTGGTCTCACTGACTCTTCCTGTTTGTCTGTTGGCTTGTTCCAGAAGTTCCTCCTGCCTCAATGATCCTTCCCCAAACATCCCCTGGGCTGGTTCTCTCACCTCGGTCTACTCTGCAACCCACCAACTTCCACCCTGTCACCCTGATCTGATTTTCTTTTCTTTTCTTTTCCACAACACGTATAATTTTATACGTAGCCCACTTAAACCACTTACTTTTTTATTGTTTAACTTCCATGAATAAGCTTTTAATAGACACTTTTGTCTGTTGTGTTCCTAACAGCTCCTAAATGGCTAGAAACTGCCTGGTACACAGAAGGTGCTCAACAAACAGGTTTCTGTTCCTTCCAGTGTTAGAAAATGAAAACACTGGTGCTCCACACACTTGCTGCTCCCTGCGCTGTGCTTCCCTCTCATCCTGGAGACCCAGTTTCCAAGTGTCCAGCAAAGTTCTTTGCGTCCTCTAATGTGATCACACCCTGCTTGGGTTGGGCTTCAGAGAAGGAAAGCAGACGGACCTCAGCACAGGCTCTTCCCAGATCCGAGCTCACACTGGGGTTGTATCTGGCACATTGCAAATGGTCAGAGAACACTTCAGGCCTGAGATAGGTAGGGATTAAAATAGAATGGAGAATGTAAGCAAGGTGTTGCCATGGAAATACAGGGAGAAGGGACTGAAAATCACAGAGACAAAGGAGCCTCGGAGGTAACAAGGTGGCTACGACCCCAAGTAGGGAGACTTCTCGTGTGCATTTTCAGTGACAGAAGGGTGGGTGTGAAGGCACATCCACCACTTGCGGTAATTTCATGATGCTTTCACTTGAATGTGTGATGAGAAATAAACACACTCTCTATAACAAGTACTCTGAGAGGATGATCAGAAATACTAAAATTAGCCAAGTCTTCACTGTCTCCAAGAGAACAAAACTCACTTTATATGAGATCGCTTGAAGTACAGTATCACACAGGGAACCTGAGTGTGCACGTTGGCACACACAAAACACAGTACTCACACAACATGAGTACAGTAATAAAAACTGGCCATCCAGCCATAACGAGCAGTAAAGTACAAGAAATTCACTATAATTAGACTTCCTTTTACATATCTGTATTGTGTTTTCTTGGGAAAATCGAGGCCACTAAGGTGAGTGACTTTGAAGTTTGTCTGCATTGATCAGCTTCCTCCCCACAGAAGAGCCCTGGCCGCTGGTGACACTTACCTTTAAGGGTAGGCTTCATCATAGCCCTAGAACTCTGAACACAGTTTGCTTTGTTGTAAATCAAAGTTCTGTTTCATGCACTAACTTGCTATTTTACAAAAGTCCAGGGAGGAGGGGGGATAGCTCAGTTGTAGAATACAATCTCCAACACCAAAAAAAAATACATAAATGAAATAAGTAAAAGTCCATAATACTCATTTCCTATAGTGTGTATGCATCCATGTGTGTGTGTATTCATGTGAGCACATATGGAAAGTAATTAGAAAACTTTTAGTTTTATGAAATCAGGTCACATTTATATAATGCCAATCTCTTATTCATACATAGACCCATTTCTTCTGCATAGCTCTCAGCTAAGCATCTATTGAAGAAACAGATAATGGTCTTTTTCTATCATAGCTGAAAACTAATTTGTTATATCTTGATACATCACTCTAGGGTTTCATTTTTATACACAGTTTCAAAAGAGAAAACATTAACCAATGGTATATTTGTGGTTTTTCCTGACCTACTTCCAAATTCTCCATGAGAAAAGTCACTTCTTCCTAGATAGGTCCTTCAGTGAAGTGTGTTTTTCATACTTCCAATATTTGTCAGCATGCAATCATGAAAATAACTTGGATATTGCATATTGAAATCCTAGTTTCTCCACAGTGTCAAAGAGGAAGAGATAAAAAGCCCAAAAAAGAAAAAAAGACTTACTTGAAAAGAACCAGCAGTAACTTGAATACGTAGTAAGAAAAAGATATATTATAAAGATAAATGGATTTATATTTGAAAAATGATGCACTAAAATTAGTCTCTACAAAAATCTGATTTTAGAAACATTTTCTAAACTTTTCTTGACATCCATAAAACCAAGTATACTTACACCTTTCCATATGCATAATTTTCTAAATGTCTAATGGAAGCTGTAAGTTACATCCACTGCACACTAACAGAAAAGTGCAGGCCTTTGTTCTGTGTGATATTGCATTTGCACATTACAGAGCCATGAAATATTTACAAAGGGAAGGTTAAATCAATACAGCTCTAAAATTTGTACTTCAGTCTTCAGGGATTTATATCATCTTGATTTAATGAAGTACAAGGAGTGAGAATGTTGACACACAGAAAAAAACACTTGGGTTTTCCCTTTGTCGTACATACAGAAAGTACTGAAGAAGGACTTGTTAATACCTCAGCAGTAACTAATTACTACTTCAGCTACTGTTGGAGTATCCTCATGGTGAAAAGCAGATGGCAATTATTAAAAATCAGAAAAAATGTGATGTGTACTACAGTAAGGAAGAACTGTACCTTCATTTAACTTAGCTTGATTTTGCAAAATCTTTAAAAGCATTATATATTTAATAATATTTAATTTTTAGAGTATACACAGTCCAGATATATGAAAATTATAAATATTAAAATAAAATATATAGTTACCTATAATGCAGAACATATATTTTACATCTATAACACATTTATTTCATATTTTGATTATTTATGTGTATATATGTCAGCAGAACAAGTCTGAGCTGTGGACAGCTTTTTCTATTGCAGTATAAAATCATGCTTATTAAATAGAACATAAATGCCTCTTATTTGCAAAATCACAGGTTATTTGCTAATGAAATCTTTAGTGATGACATATAAGGATTGAATGAGGCAAGCATAGAGCTTTGAAAAAATACACTTTTAAAAAATAAACAAATCAGATGAATTTGGAATAATACACAACTTACGGAAGGGCACAGAATGTATCAAGATAAAAATCTAGGTGAAATTTAACTTGGTATTTTTATAGTAGAATTGATTCATTCTTGTCAAGTCAACTTTACATATTAAATGTAATATACTACATTTTATAAATTATAAAACTATTGTGGCTTTTCTTTAGATATCTTCCTAAATTCCCATGTGCTCATAAGAAGGGCTTTTCAAAGGTAGCAGGATCCATGGTGTGTTAACATGGATTAAGGATGTGAGATAACTAAATTAACCGACTGGTAGGTTAAGCATAGTTGTAGATTCTGGGATTACTGAAGAAGGAAGCCCCACCTGGATGTGGCTGGCACCAACCAATGCATTTGTAGCCTGAATGTAATGAAAGAGAAATGGAGGGATCCCACGTGCTGCTTCCTGCCCACCATGCCATGGACTGTTTCTCCTCTGCCGTGCCCCTCTGCCATACCGCACACTACAGACAGCCAACTAGAGACTGAAACCTCTACAAACTGTGAACCAAAATAGCCTTTCCTCCCTTAAACTGTGAGTGTTGATATTTTGTCCCAGCAACAAGAAAAGCAACTAAGACAAAAACTTC